GTTTACCAAGCAGGAAGCAGGAGATCTTACAGGGCGGGTTGTTTACCAAGCAGGAAATAAGAGGGGTAATCTAGCTCAGGCTTTGCTCTTTCCTACAGGCCTCACGTCCGCCAAGTAAGGCGACCGGGCTCGGCCGCGGCTCCCAACAGTCCATGCTAATGACCTCAGCACTCCCAGCAGCATGAGGCAGAGCCATGTGCAGACAGAGGCCTGGAGGGCCACTCTCGGACCACTCTGGTCAATGATGGACACAGGAGCTGAGTCTCGCCAGTTTCCTGGCATGGACTGCAGTAGTGAGTGTTAGAAGGAGCTGCGAAGTTGCCTGCCTCGTAAGGCAGCTTGGCCGGCCTTGCTGCCCGTGGGCAGCCTACGGGGGGGCTGTTCTGCCAGCTGCAGCCACCTGAAGGATGGGTGTCAGCAGGGAATTCAGCTGCCCACTGTGTCCCCAAGGCAGGATCACAGACCCAGCTTGGCATCCAAACCCGGCTTGGCCAGCTTCTGAGGGTTCCCATACACTTCTAAAAGCCATGCTTCATTTTGCAAATTGCCAGTGGAGCTCTCTGGTGCCCCATGGGCCTCAGAGCTGATCCTCTGAGGGGCTCACAGCTCACACTTTGGTGCAGACAGATGTGGATTCAGATTCTGGATCTGCCACTTACGTAATCTCAAACCTGTTATTTAATCTCTTGAGAGCTCAGCTTTACTTTTGGGGTGAGGGTTACTGTTACTTTTTGGTTATTTATTTATTTATTATGTTGTTGGGAATTAAACCTGGGGCTTCGCACATGCAAGGAAAGCCCTCTACCTTGAGCTACTTCCTCTCCCCGAACTCAGTTTTGAATCTGTAAAATGGGGATAACAAAGACTCTTTTACAGTGTTACTACAGGGATTGGATGGTTGCAATGTATAAAGCAAATTTCTAGTACTGTGCAGAGTTTGGCACACAGTAGCTGCTGGATGAATGGAAATGTGACCTGATGCTTTAGAGCCCGCTTGGTGTTGGGTGCTGACCAAGATTCTTGAAAATGTTTTCTGAGCTAATGTGGTACTCAGAATTACCTTGAGTTAGATTTCTTTTCTAGGTTTCTATAGCAAAATAATTCAAACTCATTGTTAAAGCTTCAAGTGCAGGGGAATTTTTTTTTTTTTTTTTGAGACAGGTTCTCGCTATGCAGTTCAGGCTGGCCTTAAGCTCACTCACTGTAGCCCAGGCTAGTCTCAATTTGCAAGGATCCTTCTGTCTCAGCCTCCCAAGTGCTAGGATTACAGGAGAACATCACCAGGCCTGGCTAATTTTTTTTCTTAAAACAATTCACAAAACTGTTCTCTCTGGAGTCTCTTGCTTATGTTGACTTTTCCCAAGTAAATTTTCAGGATGCTATCTAGAATCTATATGGCTAGTAGAATAGAGATCCTGTACAGAGGGCTGAGAGAGTGATGCTTTGTCAGATGTCTTCAGCTCTCAGTGGCTCTGCATGATCCCTTCATATACATGTCTGTGTTCATATCTTTCCTATCTCTTGCTGTTATTTCATTCTGCTAAGAAATAGTAAATTCTGCCAAGCTTGGTTCCATTGGGGCCAAACAGGGACTCTTCATCCAAACACAGGGCCACTCTGGTCTTCTCAGACACAGGCCGGTCCCTATCCACCCCAACCCCATGTCACTCAGGTATTTTGGGGGGAGTCTTTATAATTATTTGAGCAGCTTTACAGATATGATGTGCAAAATCATATCAACCGTTATTACCCCATCACGGTAACTACAGAGTCCTTCCAGACACCAGGAATATCTAAAGTATTGCTAAGGGGCTCATGATAGCTCACACCTCGAAGATTAGCATTCAGGAGGCAGAGGCAGGGGAATCACTGAGCTCAAGGCCAACGGGCTACAAAGTGAATTCAAAGCCAGCCTGAACTACATAGTGAAACCCTGTTTAAAAAAAATAAATAAAATAAAATATCACTGCTTCAGTGCAATCTCTGAGTTTTGGATTGGAGAAAACAAAGTCACTGTAAAGAGACCACTAACCAATGTGTCTTCTGGAAGAACAGCTCAAAGATAGAGAAGAGCGCATTTGACAGACTGGTTAGTCACGTATTAAGGGATTTCTCATAGCAGACAGGAAGCACGCAGGTAGAGAATGTGCTCAGCAAAAGTATCTTCCATGCAGCAGAGAAGTACAATTTTAAAATTTTACAAGTGTACGTTTGTAGTACCTAATGTACTTGTACAAAACATTCTTTATCCCCCTTTCCTCCTCTCCCATCTCTTGGTTCCCTTCCCCCTTTGCAAAAGATCTGTCTCCCCATTTCTTGCTATCATCTTTTATTTTTCTCTTCAGTTTATTTTCACTTTGAGTTTCTCATGGGAGAGAAACAAGATGATATGTCAGATTGTGTCTGATTTATTTCACTCAACATTATGGTCTCAAGGTGCATTCATTTTCCTGACTCAGGTTTATCCTTCTTTATGGCAGAGGAGTTGGGCACTGTGTATAAGTACTACATTCTCTTCATCCATTTATCTGTTGGTGGATATATAGGCTGCTTCCAAGATTTAGCTATCATGAATCATAACGCTATAAACATGGATATACATGGGTCACTGTGGCATGGTGTCTTTAGCTCTTCAGGAAAGAGGCCTAGAAGGGGAATAGCTAGATCACATGGAATTTCTAGTATTTTGAGGAATCTCCATTGTGGTTGTACAAGTCTGCATTCCCACCCACAAAGCAGAAGGGTTCCTTTTCCCGCAGCAGCCTCACCACCATCACTTGTTATTACTTGATTTCTTGGGATGGTCATGCTTTCTCAGGTGAAGTAAAAGACAGAAGTAAAACTGTCTAGAGATTCAACACTTAAAGAATGATATGTTTGAAGAACACAAAATTGAACCCATTTTTTTCTCCTCAGCTAATAAAGAGAAGAAAATTGGGAGGCAGACTGGGATCAAAGGTGGAATCTTGAAGGAGAGATTGGATTGGTACGGGGTATTTCATGGAGCCCATAGCGCTGGTTAGCAGAGATAAGAACACAGAAGGCCTTGTGCCTAGATACAGGGCCAAGGCAGTCTACGGAGTTTCAAAAATCAGTCAAAAAGGAAAAAAGTCATTTCTACCATTAAAAATGCAAATCCTCATAAGTCTACTCCCTGTACTTCCTAGTCTAGATATATGGTGTGTGCATGTGCAAGCTGTTACACAAATTGTTATTCAAGTCTAAACACATGTTGCGAGTGAACTAGCAAATTTACTGAGCATTTCATCTTGAAATTTTCATTGACCCGCCAAGCACTCTGACGTTAAATGCCATGAAACAGATTGCTGACCACGTCCTTCTGAGTTCTGTCTCTCAGAATGAGAGAAGAATTTTCCTAAGGGCATGAGACATTTGATACCTGTCACTTAACAGATCAAACGCCATCCTCTAAGCACAGAATTTCAGAGCTAGGAGTAACTGTAGGCATCATCTGGTCTATTGCTACATAGCTACATCTCGCTGACACTTTTGCTGACCTAAGAGATACAAACACATTTTTAGTCTTACAGACTTCTTTACACCTACTATCCCTTTGGGTTTATCACTTCTACTATCATTTGTATTTTAAGTGGATCAGCCTAGAGCCTTGTAACTCAACAACTTACTCTTTCTGGGCATGGAAAATAAAACCCCAGCATCCTGAGAAACTGAGGGAGGAGGAAAGCTGGTTTAAGGCCAGTCTGGACAACTTAGCAAGACCCTCTCATCTCAGAACTGAAAATGAAAAGCTGAGATTGTAGGTGGTCGTGAGGGCTCCAGGTCCAGCCCCAGTGCAGGAAGGCGGTGAGGGCTGGAGACTCAGCTCAGTGATTTAACACCTCCCAAAACCCTGGCTTAACCCCCTAACAAAGCAAAGAGAAAAAGCAGAAAAATCAAAACCTCCAATTCTGTTCAAGATGGAGTGAGAGAGATCGGATTTTCTTTCCTTTATGAAACAATCAATTGATAAATAAACAGAAAATAAGATAGTTTATAACTGTTTTCAAGACACTGAGCATCAAGCAGTCAAGGGACCCTTGAGAGCAAAAACACAGGTGTGGGGTGATCCTGTGACCTCTCAGGTGGCCACCTAGAGGCTCAGAGCCAGAGAGGGAAAAAAGCTGGGAGGCTGGTGCACCACAGGTGGAGGAGGTGGCCTGAGGGTCCCAGGTGCTGAGGTACTGCATGGTTTGCAGAACAAGAGGACCAGAGATAATCAGCACTGAGAGCTCTGGAGGTACCCTGAGTCTCCTCTGGGATAGCAGGGTCCTAATCAGTGCATGCACAGGTGAAAATCACGGGAGGCCAGGAATAGAACCACCTGAAACCACCTACAGTGACTCAGCCCTTGACCAGGCCAGCTGGGAATGTACCTGTGTCTCCCGAGAGACTCCCTGGAAATCTCCTCATTCCCAAGGCACTGGGCAGGGTACTCAGAAGAGTCCTTCCACAACTGCAGGGAAGAAGTGACCTTAAGCCCTTCCATGGTTCCGCCTAACAAATCTTACAGGAAGGTCTAAAACTATTTCCTAGGAGCTACATTCCAAAACAAAGCTCAACGATGTCATCAAGTGGGGTGGCGCACTGAGGAGGCTGAGTCAGGAGGACTGCTGCAAGTTCAAGCCCAGCCTGGGCTGCATACTGAGTTCAAGGCCAGCCTGGAACACTGAGATCCTGTCTCAAAACATAAAATAAAATGATCATGTACTTACTTTCTAATGGCCTTCCCTATTTTATATGAGATCCCAGGCTGGTCTCAAACTTGCAGTGATCTTCCTGCCTCAGCCTCCTGAGTACTGGCAGATCTGGGCTTTAAAACCCCTCTACGTTGAAGACCCAAACGTTTAGTCTTGTTGCCAGACTCCCTTACAAATACGGTTGTGTCTGTGTCAGTTGTGTGACACATGGCCTTTGTATTTTGGGATTACTCCCCTTATGTATTCTCACATTTCAAACTCATCTGTCCTGATTTTCCCCAGTTCGACGCCGACCGAAATGAGGATGAGGTGTTCTACGACATCAGCCTGGCCGTTGACAGCAAGTTATTTCCAAACAAAGAGGCCGCAGTGGGTAAGTCACCGCATCCCATGGGCGACAGTGCACTGTGACCACCAGCCACACATCTTGGGCTGTAATTAACAGCGGAAGCCCAGCAGGCTGCTGGGAGGTTCATGGTGGCCCTGGCCTTACAGCCAGTTCTTGCAGGCTTAAAAACAAAGGCACAAAACACAATGCAGAAAGAGGGTGCTACATCTTTCTTGTCGTTTCCTTGTTTGAAGGGTTCCTCCTGTCCTTGCCAACCTAAGTTATCAGATTGCTACAACACAGTGTCAGGGAGGGACCATGGTAAGATAATAGAAAAAAGAAAAAGGAAAAACCCTAACCTAACCGTGCTGTGGGCGATGATTAGAAGTCACGATTCCAGCCAGGGGGGGTGGCCCGGGGCTGTTACCATGGGTGCCAGGATCCCCAGATGGCTTCCGGGTTCCTGTTCATAACCAAGGACTGGACGTGGTACACAAGGTTAAGGAGACAGCAGCTGAGTTTAATGGGAGCGAAACACACATTTTGTTATAAGGATGCAGAAACAGGTCTGTCAGACCCATGTTTATTCTTTAAAATATTTCTATTGATGAACTGTCAATTTTCTTTCAAATTACCCAAAAATCATGTTATTTTTTAAAATTTTATATTAAAAAGGGTAAAATTAAACAGATTGTATGAAAACAATGTAAGAGACACAGATTTCAAAGCACAACAACTGGAGATCTTCACTGTCTATCATACTGTCTCTTGTTTTCTTCCAAATAGTTGTCCATATCTTCACATACAATGAATTCATACAAAACCAAATAGTATTAAGCTGATCAGAACAGGATGATGAAGACATTTTAAGCCTTTAAAACCAGACAATAGGGAAGTCAACAATGGCCATAATGTCTCTCGTTCTCTTCAAAATAGCTGTCCATACCTTCATGTATGTTGAAATTAAACAAAACTAAACAGATTAAAATCGCCGTGAACAAAGAATAATAGTATTGCTGGATTTCACATCATGATGCTACAGAATCAACACTGGGTACCTTAGTGTCTCTTTTTCTTCAAAGTAGCTGTTCATTTCATCGTGCATTATATAACCAATTTTCATAAACTGTTTAGAAGTTCTACGCATGCATGAGTCTCAAATGTATACCTGTTATTTCTGTAGTAGAGAGAAAAACAAACCAAGACAAAACAAAACAAATTCCTAGAAAAACGTGAAATGAAAAAGACATATAAACAACAATAGCAAAGAGCCCAGAACACTGACACTATAGGTCTTCAAAACAAGGTGGTATGAACGTAACTAGGGTTGTTATTTTATATAATGATCCTTAAGAGTTCCTCATATCACTAGACAATAACATGCACAATTTGAACTGTTAATTTTAATTTTATGAGTTTTATTCTATTATACAATCCACACTTAAGAAAAAATACCACAAAAACAAAGCATTGGATTTTTAACACTGTTTATTTTTTTTAAAGCATCAAACTTTTCAGCATTGATTGTTTTTTGGTGCAAAAAGTCTAAAAAAAAGAATAACACCAATGAATTGTTATATGAACTACAATGAAAATTCCAATAGCACTTTACAAAAACAAATAATCTTTATTTCCATGATCACACCTAAGGCCTATGCACGCACAACAGCCTCAGGCATCACTCTGACAGCACGGGTGCTGCTTTCCTGACCTTTTTGTAGGACATATTTGACATCTCAGGGGTCTGCTGTTTTAGCAAGAGGCTCTTATTGTATTATTCAGTGTGTAGTTAACAGGACCATAAAGTATCAGTAAAATAAAGTACGAAATTCTTAAAGGGATCGTGTATTTAGGATAGAGATCAACATTTTCACATCAGCTCTGTACTTGCTTGCAAAATTTAAAAGATAACATCAGAAATAAATTCCCATATGAACTTCAACAAAAATAGAAATGGAACCCTACCACAAAAATAAGCCTTGCTTCAGCTGTCACACCCAAGGCAGTCTGCACACATGACAACTGCATGTTCCATACACAAGTATTGCTCACATGGATAGCACATATGTTTTGTTTTCCTGTACTTTCTCGTAGGGCTCAGTTGCCATCTTTTCTGTTTCCCTGTTGTCACAGCAGGTCTTTGTGATGCTGTGCCTGCCTGCTCACCTGTCAGCTCTCCAGTGTGCTCCAGCTTTGTGTGTGTGTGTAGTTCCCTGGGCAGAAACATTTTGTTTTTTCTCTACTATAAATGATCTCTTATGAGCTCCAGACCCAGTCCTCTAGAAAATTTCTCTGTGATATTTTGCACTTGTTATTTTCTTTGTAAACGGTCAAACTATTTATGCCACACCTGTTTAGAATCAGGTAAAACACAACCATTGGCCAGTGCTTTGTGTTTCAAGTGACATGATAAGTCCATCAACATCATCTACTCCACCTTTGCTTTCGTTGTAGAAAGTTTCAGTCTCAGGCTTCTGTTTGGTTGAGGTTTCCCCAGCAGTATTTCCTTAATGGGTGAAATGTTGATATCAGCAGTACCAATTACTTTTTGTTGTCATATACAAGGCCAATGTTATATCTTTCTGAAATCAAAGATTGTACTATAAATTCTCTGTTTTAAAACTGTAACATTTCATTTGGAGTTTCTGCTTTGTTTTTACATGTAGTTCCTTTGCTGGTTAAATCATGCTCTCTTACATCAGTTGGAGTATGTTATCAATTGGAAGCTGGTAAAACAATCATCAAATATCACATTCTGATTAGTTTAGGAGATAGGAGAAACAAATCTGTTCACATCATTTGGTTTATTACTACACAAATAAGGACCAATGACTGAGTTCCAGGATAAATGTGTGAATTAAAACCATGGTATGTCTTTGCATTACAAAGGCATAAACTTCTGTGCCATATTTTGACCCATTATTTTTCAGTAAGTCCCTTCCCTTCCTGTGATCACCATGAGAAGTCCCTGCTAAGTACAGCAATCCTATGAATGCTTTCAGTTCAGCTAGTGAGGTGTCATAGTAAATACGTTTTTTAATATGGCCCTTGGTGCATATAGAATGTTTTACTTGTATTTCAGCCTTTGTGTATTTCACAGCATCTTGTGGCATTTCATCTGTTATGATTTCCAGCACTGAATTCTGGTACTGGCATTCTGTCCAATACCTTTCACCCCTGCCAAGACCTTCACTGTATTATTTCCAGATCAAGTTCTGTCATTAGATAATTCCATTTGGTGATGTGGCCATTTTGTAACATTTCTACTAGTCAGATATGTGCTCACATTGCTATTTTCTTCATCACCTGAATGCAGGAGGTCTGCATTCCCTGTATCTCTATCAGTTGATTCTTGCTCCATTTCACTGCTGCAGGAACTTTGGCTCCCATGACCAGTGTCAGAGCGATCATCATCATCATCATCATCATCATCATCATCATCATTATCCACACCCACCACTCTTCTGTTGTGAAAGTGTGTATTTTACCATAATAGATCACCTTCACATCCATGCATGAGTCATCTGATGACTCACTTTTGACTTCCTACAAAACTTGTAAGTCTGCTTTTTCATGTGCCATTGTACTGAATTAGACTACTTTTACCAGAAAAATCAAAGAAAACTTTTTTTTTAACAAATCTTTGATTTGTTGTGGGTCTGTTGGACCCTCCATGATGCTCAGGTAAACATACACAAAACTAGTTAGATAGAGCATAATGTGAGTAAAAATTCCATTTTGCCACTTTAGCACATGTGCACATACCTTACCATTCATCATACCAAGTGGGTAAACACAGATTGCTTCCTGTGTCCCTCAGGGAAATGTTGTAAGATGTACAGCCAGCTACTATTACACTGAAGGACAAATATACAGTAGAAAAGTAAGGAAAACGGATGGGTCTGATGGACCCAGTATTATGCTCCTATGAAGTTTAAAAGGCAAATGTACACTCAGAGTGAGCAGGCTCATGCTAGTAGAAAGGAAATAAATAGCCCAAGTGCGGAAATATTTGAAGTGTTGTGCTGAGCCTAGGGCACCTCCCATTGGGTCTTTCAGAGCATGATTGACAGCGTGGTTGACAGGATGCTGAGTCATGCCAGCTGTGTCTACTGCTGGCACAACTCACTCTGTTACAATGGACGGATGAGATGCAATCCATGTGCATGAGCCCTCAATGAGCTCCAAATGAACAGCTCATTTGGGTGAAGAGCCATAAGTTATGCCGTGGAATTTTGGATTTTCCAGGGCTCTTTGTTATTCTTACCTCTGCCTTCCAGGAAGTAGGCCTTAGAACAAAGGTGGGGGCGGGCCTGGCCCATGTTCAAATGAGTGGAAGGGATCAGTCCCTTGGCTGTATTATCTATATTAGTTCTATGGTCCTCACACTCGGAGATGCTGAGGCAGGAGGATGGCAACTTGGAGCCCAAGAGGGTGACTTAGTGATTTAGTGAGACTGTATCAGTCACTTTCTGACTGCTGAGATTCAGTGCCTGACACCCACGATTTAAAGCAGGGGACCTTTGTTTTGACTCATTCCGAGGCTTCGGTTTGTGGTTGGCTGACTCATACAGACATAGCAGAGCCAAGGACAAAGAGAAGGAAGTCTGCACTTCCTGCAGCAGCCAGGACACACAGAGAGAAGGGAGGAGCAGGGGCAAGAAGTCACCTTAGGGGTCACCTCTCTAGTGAGTGACCCACCCAGCACCTCCTAACAGCACACTCCGCTGGGAGCCCCTGCCTTGGGTGGGTCCCAGCGGAGGATACATCCCCACCAACTGTCACCCTCTAAACACAGGAGACTTGGGGGACATTTATGGTCTATATCTAAACCATAACAGATACCCTGTCTCAAAATAAAAAAATTAAAAATGGCTGGGCGTGTAACTCAGTGAGAAAGCCCTGTATTTGCTCCCCTGTGCCACAAAATAATTAACTAAAAATGAAAGAAAAAGTTACAGTTCTTCCAGGATGCACTCACTGGGCCATTCGTGGAGGTTTCTGCTGTGCTGCCTGGAGAAAGCACTTCTTCCTGGGAAAGCCAC